AGACTGAAGAAATCACAGACAGAATGAGAAAGTTTGCCCATGTCCCAGTGGTATGGTATCCCAATGACCTGTTTGGAGGATGGTTCTCTGCCTTGGGTGGATTCAAAACCCTGATAGGGGCAATGGGCCTAGTCCTAGGTGCATGCTTAATATTACCCTGACTGGTTCCCTGCAGTCTATCAGGACTATTATGGAGGCTAGTATAGAAAGAAAAACAGCCGCATATGTGATGATGCTATGGAAATACAAACCCCTAGATCAAGATGATGCTCTTTGCCCTTAGGTAGGTCCGAGCATCAAAGGGGGGTATAATGTAGCAGGGAGGAGGATCAGAAGAAAACAGATTAAGGCCTGTGTTCTGATAAAGCAGTAGGGAGGTAGGGATGGCATAGCACAAAGATAAAAATAAATCCAAACATGGAGAAGGACACATAGCACTGGGGCGGGGGGGGGGTGGCGTCACATAGCACTAAGGTAAAGTAGCCTATAGGACTAGCTGTAAACATATATGGGTTAGACCTTGCTTTTTGCTTCTGTAACCTGCTTGCAAGTGTATATTGGGTGAGACCCCTTTGTTCTCAGGGCTCAGCCTTTGGACCTAAGTCCACTGAGTCTATGACAGCACAATAAAACATTGCTTCCTGCTAAACTGCCTCAGTGTCCATATCTCAGCTTGAGATTACCACAACAGGACTACATAGCAAGACCCTGTCTCTGGAAAAAAAAAAAAAAAAGCAGGATCATAGACACTCCCCAGGAAGAAACAGAGGAGTCCACACTTACATGTAAACAGAAGGTCTGAGAATGTTCTTTCTGAGTCTCTGGTTAGGTCAACATACTTTATATAAGCAGTTTCTTCTAGGTCTTTGCCTGTGTTCCAAAAGGCCTGAAGGGCAGACCTTACTAAGCTGATTTGCATGGGAACATGGTGCTTTCAAGCTAAGCCACTACCACTGTTCTATTATCAAAAATTCTAATGCCACATGTAAGGCAGTTCTTGGGTAAGAAGAGACAGAATGAAGACTGTTACTACTGATGTATTAATTCAAAATACCAAGATATTATAATAAAAATAGAGCAAGTGGCATAATTATAGCTGATTAAAGTTGTATCATTCTGATCTTTAAGGAATGCAAACCACTTGTGCATAGGTATTATTAAGATAGTGTTAAAATTAAATACTAAGGTGAAATTCTTTTTAATCTGGAAGACATAGTGTATTTTTCCTTAAGTATTAGACTCCAATAATTTCCTTTTAAATCTGGCTCTGCAATGAACTTAAGGAAATAAACCAGAATGGTGTGACACAGGGACTTCTGGATTTCACACCAGGGGAAAAACCAAAACCTGCCATTGGACACCCTTCTCTCCTCTGGCCTGAGAGAGACAAAGAGTCATCTCTTATGGACACAGAGAAATGGTTTTCTACTCCCCACTTCTGTATCATGTGAAAGGATGGTCAACTGTAGTGTTACACGTAAAAGCACGATTCGGTTACAAATCTATCAAAAGCAGACAGAGGATGCGTATTTTGATAGATTTATACAACTGGATGCTCTTTATAAGAGCCAGTTGGAGTCATTTGGAATGAGATGGAATGATTTTCAGGATATGTGATTGGGGGAAAAGGTAGGCATAAAACACTGGTTGTAGAATACTCTGGAAGGAGGAAGGAAACAAATACATTCAAACTTATGTGGGTGTAGGCTAGCTCATAGATATAAACCGGAAAATCTAGGGATGGTGGGATAACTGAAGTGGTAGAACACATGCCTAGCAAGCATGAGGCCCTGAGTTCAAACTCCAACACCACTCCCTCCCCCTCCCCCAAAAAAGAGAACTTGAAAATCTAGTAGGGATGGCTACATTTGGGGAGAGGGAAGAACTAGGGAATCCCAGGGTGGGAGAAAGATGTATTGTTCATCCTAGTATAATCTTTTGTAGTATATGGATTTATTTTCTATTTGAACAATTTTAATGAAAATGGAAACAGAAAGTCTGAGGGTTTTTTAGCCAATATCTCATCTAGCCAATTGTTAGGGACATAAAAAGCATTCTACTCACAGAAAAAGAGAAGCAGATATTTATTAGGAAAGAATGTGGAATTCTGGGGGTCTTTTCCCTTTAAAAATGTTTAATTTTGCTACTATACTTGTTTAGGAACAAAAAAAAATCATTGTAAATAAAACCAAATAAACTAAACAAACAAAAAACTAAAACATATACCTCGATGTTCAAAAGAGTGATGGTATCTTCACTGTTAGTGTCATGTGGAGGTAAAGGCATCTTTACACCAGCTGAATAGGAGTGAAATAGTATGCCTGGACAGACTGGATTTCAGAGGCCTCCACCAGAAGGAAACATGAAAACTAACTCAGAAAGTCTGCTTGTAGGAATGTGTCCTACTAGGATAAGCAAGTAAGTAAGTATGGATGGATGATGCTCACTTGCAGAATTATAATAGCAAAAAAGGGAAACGACCAAGTGCCTAGTGCTAGTGTGCGTTACATTATAGGATGTGTTTACACAGTCTCTAAAAATGATGATTTTTGCCCCACAACTGCCATGCTAAAAAAAGAAAATGTTAAAGTGATTTTCAGGAGATTTTAACCTTATTCTTTCTGTCTTCCCTACTTTCATACATTTACATATAAAAATATACCACCTTGCTTAGTGTTGGTAGCTCAGGTAGTGCTGTGGAGAAGAAAGATATCTCATTTCCTGGGGGACAATGACATCAGTTTCTTTTGACCTAAGAACACGTCCTCTGTAACGCTGAGTGCTGTTGTCATTTACAAAACCCACATTTTCTGGACATGATTTGGCCCTGTTATCTCAATTTGTATGATAAAATCTAATTATCCCTTGAAGCACATTTGCTGGAAATTTTCTGTGACATTAACTATAAGATGTAGTTCTATATTAGAGGAATAGTCAAGTGGCAACTGTCCTTTATTCCAAAAGCATTCAGATTAATTTCCTTAAAGTATTTATATCAGTGGTTCTCTGGATGTGGGGGAGTGGGAAATGGGTAAAGAGTGAACTGTCCCCTACAGGGGATATTTGGTAACATCTGGACACATTTCAGGTTCCCAACTGGGAGTGCTACTGGAATATAGTGGGTAGAGGTCAATGATGCAGCTAAACATCCTACCATGCACAGGACAGCCCCATAGCAAAGAATCATGGGGTCCCAAATGTCAACAGTGCCAAGGTGAAGGGTTTCATTAACAGCATAGGACAGAATGACCCACCCAACTCTCTCACCACACTCCTTCCACAGCTGAGCACTAGGTGAAGTCAACACTATAGAAGAGAGTGACCATGATATGGCACCTTCATAAACAGTAGGCCATGATCATGGATCCTATTTTAAAATATTAATTTGCTGAAATCCTTTGGTAAATGTAGAGTAAAACATACTAGAACACAGTTGAAAGATGTAAGTGTGCCACTTTGAAATATGTCCAAGATAGAAAAGATGCATATGCTGCTTCCAAAGGTCTGGCCAGAGGCACACATTTCAGAGCCCACTATGTAGCAATATGTGCCTAACCAGGCAATGACTATGTCAACAAGGCGGTTGCTAAGAAGCTTTCATATTACAACTTTAATGATATAATCTGTATACTATGCTATTTCTTTTGCCTAAACAATCAAGGGTAGAGATTTAATTTTACTTATGGCCATAATATTAGAACCAAGGTACCAAGGTTGATTAATATTTTTCTAAGGAAAACATATTAAAGCCTCCCCCAAAACAGGTCACTACCCTAGAAAAGACATTTCATTTATGTGTGTCCATAAATGGCTATTGACATATAAAAATTTATAGGCAATATTAGCAGAGAGCCAAGGCTTTTAAATAGAAGATTTATTTTTAGGTTTGAGGCACATGACATAACCCTGCTTTGGAAGATGTACTATATTACCTATTATTCCTTAAGAAATTAAAACTTAAAATGAATAGACATTTAATTATGTTTTGTGGGGAGATGGGAAAATTAAGTTAATTTTCAAATGCTAAACTTTGCCAAAATTTAGCAAATCTGTTTTCCTTAGTTCAGGCAAAAGCAAAATTTCTTTCAAGGAATAAAAATGTTGCAGCTTCAAAACACCCATGTGACACAAAAGCTGCCTTAATACAGCAAGCACAGGATGATCCCAGGCTTCTGTCTGCTCTGGGCGTGCCAACCAAAGTGGTTCCTCCAATATCTTCTGTGAGAGTGCTAACTTGTCATGAGAAAAATGCTACTTTCCTACTCCCCACACACTAATTTTAGGGGAAAAAAAAAAGGAAAGAAATTTGGGGGCCTACCTTCTGTGAGGGTAGGGCTAGGACATAGAACATAGATACCAACCAGCATTCTAGGTGGAAGATGGACAGTAAACTCCTTGTTAGAACACATGTAGACAAAGACTTGATCCTACTCCACAAACCCATCCTTACCTGCTCTGAAGCCACAACTCACACTAGCCCACATTTCGGGGACAAGTGGAGACCCCATGGAAAGGAACATGGATAGCTGACCCTCCAGTTAACTAGCCATTTTGGGTAGCATAGAAAATGGAACAGCTTACAAAGCATGTCTCAGCTCTGCCAGTGCTTCCTGCTGGTGTCCAGTGGCCCTAGCTTGTTTCTAAGTTTGGGTAACTCATCTCCCTTGTTCCTAGCACCTTAACAGCTTTGCTGTGATGAGGGACACGGTTTCTTCCGGGCTGACAAGCTATTGCAGGCTCACTCCTGTCCAGGCAAGAAGACAGAGCAGATTTTGGAGTCCAGTCCCAACCCAGTCCATGAACTACTTAGCAGGATGTCTTTAAGAAAAATGTGACCAGCACACAAGCCCTAAAGAAAGATCCCTCACGGAAACACCGAGCACTGCCCACAGCTCACAGGCCTGTGCGGCAGAATGCTCTAGCAAAACTCCCTGGGAAAATACTGTGGCTCTCAAGACCCAGTGGGCACAGGCCCCAAGCCTTTTCTCAGCAACACTCACCTTTAGGATGGGCACAGCTGCTCGACAGCGGGCAGTCTTGCTGTTTTTGAGGAAGTGAGATTCATCCTGAAAGAAACAGCCACATGGGTGAAAAAGGCCCAGTCTTGCGTATGAGAAAATGCCCACCTAAAACTTGACCCCAGTCAGGCATTTGGCATGTGGTCACCTCACTTAAAACATTCTCATTCAAGGAGATTGAACAGTGGGCCTAGGGAAGGACCCAAGGCACTGGGACAACTTTTTACTATATTCTGGGCAAGTCACTTCATCCCTCTGGGGAGTTCTCCATCTATAAAGTGGGGTTGGTGAACCCCACCCCACCCCTCTCAGAGGCTGCTTGGGTAGAGGTACTGCTTTGTAAGAAGCACCTCACATCTATGTGGCATGAAAGTCAAGTGTACTGAAGATCCACTGTGTGCTCTACACTGGTGTGAAGCTCTGGGTTCAGCACCTGCCCTTGGGGCTTGACATGCAGCAAGGATGTCAGACACAATAACAACCGATCGGACTATTAGTACTGCCAATGTGGCAGGTGTGCACAAAGCACTGCCAGAGAAAAGAGAAAAGAGAAATGAGAAGAGGATGACGTGATCCTTGTCCTCCAGGGACTATTAGGTTGAAAACATGCAGTTTGATTATTTACAGCTCTGTATTCTGTGTGTAAACAAATATAGAACTTGTCATATTTTCTAAAGCCAAATGACTAACCAGGCAACTAGGTTGGTACATTTAATTCCTTGCTATGTGACTCTAAACCACTAGCTAACCTCTCTACAGTGCTAGTTTCTTCATCTGTAAAATGGGTGTAATATTATTCTTAATGTAACAGTTTGCGGAAAGTCTTAAATGAGCTAACACACAGGCAGCCCTAAGAACTGTCCTACCACTCAGGCAGCGCCTGATGGCATCAGCCACCCTAGACTGGGGATACCAAAGAGATCTCACTCTGTCTCTGAAGATAATCTGTAAGCCCCTCCCCAGCTCATTACATTTCAGCTCTCAAAAGCACAACAGAGGGGAGTGTGAGATAACCTCCAAAATATCAAAACCATATCTAGCTCCTGAAACCCGAATTGCTACATTCATACTTCTATTTCATGATAAGTCCTCACGACAGTCATGAAAAAGGACTTTGTAGAGGGAAATTGCAAAAAATGTGAAGGATATGAAAAGGAATGGGTCCTTTGGACAATGGGTAAAAACACAGCACCACTGGAACAAATCAAAAGCAATGGCTTAAGACTGAAGCCTCTTCTAAGAAGTGTGACATCTCAGAGCTGTCACTTCATTTATTCCTACAATGAATATCTCAAGTCAGAAAAGGACAGGGCCTTTATTTAATTGAAAAACAAACCAACAGTGGTAGTAAGCAACTTGCCAAAGATCACATGGCAGGTACATGATAAACCAGAAACAGAAAAATACGAATTCCGAAAATAGAACCAGCTTTAGTCAATGATTCTCCAGCTTGCTAGCTTTTTGTCTATAAGCAAATGATGGACCCACTCTCACTGTCAATTTTCATCAGCAGTGAAGTGGACAACTCCAAGAATAAAGGCTAATACCGCTTAGGGGGCTGGGATGATCTGTGGTTATAATGAAGCATCTAATAGATAATAACAAACAAGAAATGAAGGCATTGTTTTCCCCTCACCCTGGAGCCATCACCACTATCCTGGGATATTCTTTGAATGTTTTCATTTCACTTGAACGGTGACATTTTTTTTTCAAAGTCATACTTGAATTTGTGCCAAATCAAAAGTGTGTCCCCCAAAGACTCGTTACCCATGTAACTTTGGGAAAAAAATATGTACACTCCTATTTACTTATCCTAAGAACACAATGTGGTAGAATACAGTAAGAGACCCCCTGAGATCAGCAACTGTGTCTTCCCCTTTCCTCCTCTTGAGCTCCCGCTATGTTTTTATTTGGGAATTATTTCGACACATTCAGTACTGACAGCTGGCTGGGCACCAAGCCTGCCCAGGCAGTCTCATGAAATGTGTGAGGAATGAAATGAAGGAAACCAGTAACTGAAATATGTACTGTCAAAACTGGGAGCAAGGCTCCAGGATAACCTTCTTTAAAAAAACAACATGAGAAAAAAGTTCTTTTTTTGTTGCAGAGTATGGAGATGTCTTCGTATTGGCTGGACTTACTATTTTTTTTTTAACCAATCCATTTTTAAATTCTTAAATCACAAAACTAAACTGAAATTTATTTTCATTTCACTCTTAATTTATCGACAAGTGAAAATAAAATCCATCAGCCAAAAACTGAAACAAAACAGGGAAAAGCTTATAAGACTAAATACGGATCCCAGCATTAATAGCTGAACAGAGAATGTGATTTTTAAATTCTTAGCGGATGATAAAGTACAGAAACTGAACACTTACAAATTATTTAAAACCTGGAATCACTGACCAGAAATTACACAGTTGGATCATGGGAAAACAGCAGAAGGGGGTTATGAGTAAACCTACACTGTTCTAGCTGCACCCCATGCCTTTCTCAGAGGAAACCCTAGCATGATTAGATACTGGGCCAGACTAATACTGGCAGCCAGGCTAGTAATAGTAACCTGCCTACCAGAGAAGCCTTCCAGTGGGTTGGCAATTTGATCCGGGCCCCAGACATCAGGTGGATCTCACTGATGTTGGTGCCTTGGTGCACAATTATGCAGCCAATTAAGTTATTTGGAATGGTGAATTCATGGGTGGTTTGACTAGATGCAACCAAACTTGCCCAGTAGCCTTTCACCTCTGGAAAGCTGGAGTCAATTCTGGTGAATCCACTCCTGCCATGCATCATGGCAAAGTGAGACTGCTGTCTTACCACCTAATTCAGTTTGGCCAGATCGAGTGGAGAAATGGTATGTTCTGGACTTACTACTGACCTGTGCCACTCTGACAAATGACACTGATGAAGGCCACACCCTTGCTGAACAGAATGCAGTCCCTGAAGCCCTGGATGGTCAGGGATCCACATGCAGGCATCCATCCCTAACTTCACACTGCAGAAAAGATAGGCTAGAAACCTCAGCACAGACTTAGTTTAAAAATCTCCCTAGGAGATTCTAATATACAGCCAGGGTTGAGAACTACTATTTTAGAGAAGTAAAATGCCAGTTCCCTGTGAAGTAAAGAAATTTCTATTCTCTAGGAAACAGAGTGAGGCTTAATGAGACTGCAGACACCATATTCTTGGAGCTTCTAAGAGTTAAAAGTACTTCAAGACTTTGCCAAATCACTTACAATGATGACAACTTTGAAAGAGGCTTTTAGTTGTTTTTCTAACTTGCTAAGAAGGTCAAAACTGACAATGTTGATTAAACCAGCTGTCAGGCGGCCCTTCCCAGTCACCACCACATTGATGTCCTCTGGGCTTAGTGACGGCAGCCACCGAAGAAAGGCCTGCAGGTGACAGGGAAGAACAAAACAGAGCAGTTGCCGACTCTGACTCCAGCCAACTCATCAATAGCATTCTGTCCATGTGGACCCATTTTAACATTCCCTGAAAAACAAACTCAGTCTCTCTCCTTCCACATCCTCCTTCATCTGCCAAAATCTTGTCATTCCCCCTCCACCCATGTCCTTCACTGTTCCAACAGGACACTCTTCTCCTATGTCGGCAGGTCTGTTGTGTCTGTAGGTTTTATCTTGGTGATCTCTTGCTAGACAGCAAGTTTCTGCTACAGCAGAAAGTGATCTTATTTTTTTTTTTTAAAGGAATGATTCTTTTTAAGAAGAATTTTATAAAGGACCTAGAAGAGTCACCTGCCTTCCCCAATCTTACCATCTCTAGATAAACCCAGTAATCTGCTATCTCCACATCAGCACCTGCATTACCTGGGCCACACTGTTGTGACGCTGTGGATGCTAGCCTTTTCTCTATTCTTGGTCTGCTCATAACCACCGATCTGACTCTTCCCTGGAATTTCTGAGGGTACTGAGGGAAGCTAACACACACAAGAGTTGCATTGTATAACTGCTTTCTACTAGCATTAGCAGAATCCAGATGATAAGGTCAGGAAAAGAACAAGGTATTGTTCTGATGCACATTAAAATTTTTTCCCCCTTTTCTTTGGTTAAAGTAGTACTTCTAGAAATTAGGCTGACCAGCAGCAGGCAGAAATGCTTCCTCTGCACCACGGTTAAGAAAAGGCTAAGAAAAAGCTAAGCTGTGAAAAGGCTGAGAGTCAACATCAGTAGCATAAAGCCAGGAAGATCTATGGACAACAGCTAGTACTTCCTTCTTTACTGGTTTGCTTACAGGGGCTTTATAACTCAATATTCATGTCAGGTACTCCATCCACTAGGTTATCTGTGCAACAGTGGACATAACACCCACAGTGCCCTCTGTGCTAAGCCAAGACATCAGGAGGGTGACTTCAAGTCCTGCTCTGCTCCTCATTAGCAGGAAGCACAGCACTTAACCTGTGAGATTCAGTTTGCCCAATCATAAAGGGTGTTGCTGCCAATGGTATCATGGAGTTAAGGGAGATAAAGGAGGTGAATAGATTCTGGAAATGAAGTGTGCTACAGATGGAAGTCATTATTCCCAGAGGCCCAGAGATACTGGAAGAGTCTGCTGAGGGACTGACATGCATCCCTAAGCTGGTGACTCCTTGGCTTATTTCCCTGACAGTATAACCTGACTCTAATTCAGAAAACCATCAGCTTACCCTGAGGGGCCAGTTCATCTCTCTTCCTGCCTTCACTTAAAGAATGGACCTTCAAGGATCCCAGGCCTTGTCTCCAAACTGTTATTTTGATACTCTAATCATGAGGAAAACATTTCTTAAGCTTCCAAATCAAAGAGAATTAACCTGCTCCCAGGTGAAGCGCACAGAGGATGGCACCACTACCAGGAGTGGCCACTCCTTCCGGTAAAAGGCTGCTATACAGATGGCTTGGATGGTCTTCCCCAGGCCCATGTCATCCGCAAGGAGCAGGCGGCCTCTTTTTGCTATGGCAAAACTGCAAGTAGACAAGAGAAAAGTGAGCAGCACAGTACAAGTCAAGTCAATTTAGGTAACCTGCCCCCCATGTAGAGTGGAATGGCATCACTAGGTGCCAGCTACTGCACCAGCTAGCATGGGGCCTGTTTGCAAACATGCTCCCTGAAGAGACTTAGCAGGAGCCAATTAGGGGGCAGAATAAAAAGAGAGAATCAAGATAGGGAAAATGAAGAATGATGGATTAAAAGTTAGGAAGAAAATCACACAATTAGATCATGAGAGCCGAGGGAGGAGGTTTCAGTGAGAGACATATCAGTCTGAACTGAGCACAGCCCAAGAGAACATGAAGGAGGGCACAATAAGCTGTCCACAAGGACAGGGCTGTTACTTACTTGTAGGGTGTGCTCAGGAAGGATAGAAAGAAGAGGTAGTGGTGTTACAAATAAAAACATTCTGAAGATCGGAGTATCTTCAGAATACTCTGCGCAGAGCACAGACAGAAGTTGCTGAAGAAATCAGACAAAGGAAAGGATGGGAACCCAAGTATTTGTCTAAGAGGAAGCACAGTCTCAGCCCAAGCTTTTTCATGAACTAACAGCCTCCAGAAGCCTGAAGCCCTTAATTGCACCAAACCTTGCTAATAGTCTGTGATGAGGATGGAGACCACTATTTGGGGGCCAGACTGGCCTGAGTTGGAATCCCAATTCTGTCACTCAGTAGCTGTACACCTTTATGTACCCCTCTACAGTAAGATGGGGAATAATAACAGTACCTGTTCCACAGAGCAGTTAAAAGATAATATGCAAAGTGATTAAGACAGTGCTTGGCAACTTCATAAACACTAATAAGTATTTCTACTGTAGCCATTATCTCACAAAAAAAGAAGAGAAATCATCAGGACACGAACTGTAAAATGATTCATCCTGAGTTGCAGGATGAATTAGTGAGGAGTCAAAAAGGATCCTAAGCATCAGACATCTGGTACCCTGCTCCAAACCCTAGTCCTCTTTCATCTAATTCCTGAAAAATTAATCATTTGCTTGAAACTTGGTAATAAGTCAGTGGAATAGCTCTTTTTCTTTCCTCTAACACAGAAAGTAATGTCTTCTCATCAGCAACTTGGAAACATTGTTTCCTAAAATGGAAAACTGAGCAGAAGCTGTCTGGGGACCAGAAGCCAGCACAACCAAAGCATGTGGTCCAATAGGCATCATATCATGTAACTTCCAGCAGCAACAACGGCCACATAGGTGAGAGGAGCACCTCTTCCTACAGTGTCCACCTTGGCCAGCACATCCCTCTACTAGGGAGAACAGAAGCCCGGAAGGTGCTACCTCTCTCTCCTGAGCAGGCCTGGTCTCCTGCAGCATAGCTGCCTCTATGAAATCTTTCATACCAATTCTAGGTTCAACCCACAGTACAGACAAATGGGGGACGGTAAGTATGAAAAGATTCATTTCTTACCATACTTTAATTTGAAAAATTGGTGACCTGGTAGGACAAGAACCACCCAAGAAATCCACAGAACACCCACATCCTTCAAGTGCCTTTGTCTCAGCTTTCTCAACTTTGCTACCTATAGCTTCCAAATGGTTTGATCCATTTGGTCTTTCTCAAAGCAGAGTGAACCCCCTGAATTGTACGTTCTTTCCTTTTCCCTGCATTGAAGTGCCCAACTAAGGAACAAAGTGTCAAAAAAAAGAAAAAAATGACATCAAAGAAAAGACCAGTGGTAGAGCACTTGCCTAGCAAGCATGAAGTCCTGAGTTCAAATCCAGTACTGTCAAAAAAAAGAAAAAGAAAGCAAGCAAGAAAGAAAAAGCCTGGAAAAAAAAAAGAAGAAATAAAAGCCAAACATATCTTCTATTCTTCTATAGTTTGTTATATTATGAAAGGGAAAACATGCTACAAAAACCACAGATCTAAGTTTCAGTTCCATTTTTGTTGAATGGGACCATTTAGATATTAGAAGCTGATACTTCTAAGAGTTCTCGTCCATAAATTTAAAGATGTGTCCAATTGTAGTTCTTATATTAAAAAAAAAAAAAGAAACCAAAATATAGAACTGTTAGTCCTCTTCTCCCAATACCAAGCCTCTATATTTTCAGTGGCCAAAAGTTAAAAACTTAGAAGAAAAGCCACAAGGACCATTAGTAGTTTCGAGAAAAAGATGGAAAACTCCTGGTCATCTTCTAGTTCTGTTGCTACAGATGAGGCCACATTCACCCTGCCTGGGTGTCTTGTCCAGCAGAGTGAACTAGCAGCAGAGTGAACTAGCAAGAAGAGCATTCAGCATGTGGGCCCAGGGATCTCTAACAGAGCATGAAGAACTCAGATACAGCAGATGGGCATCCCAGGGGTAGGGGTGGGGCTGGGCAACCTGTCTCGGTTTTAGTGAAGAAGCCAGAGTAAGAAAGAGCAAAGAAATAAACCATGCTAAGCCTGGTAAAAACAAAACATAAAGGAGATCTCAAGAGATGAAGGATTAAAATGACAAAGCAAGATGAAGTTCTGCAAAGTGTGTTATCTAAAAGAGAAGGAAGATGGAAGAGAAAGGAGGAAAAAGGTGGTAGACACGGGATAAGGACCATGGGAATGGAAAATGTGGTAGTGCCCAAACAGCACAGAGATCAAAATCCCACCACAGCTGTAGCCAAGCTTTCAGCAGAACACAACACTCAGGCGTTAGGTGGGCTAGCTTCATGTTTGTCAGTTCCACTGGTAACTGAGGTCCGTTCCCTTACATGGAGCTCTATCTTCAACCACACTGCCTACTAATAGCTCTAACTCTCAATATTCTGGACAAACAACCAAGAACTCCTCTTTTCTTTTTCTTTTTTTTTTTTTTTGTGGTACCAGGGCTTGAACTCAGGGCCTACACCTTGAGTGACTCCGCCAGCCCTTTATGTGTTAGGTATTTTCAAGATAGAGTATCGAGAAGTATTTGCCCAGGCTGGCTTCAAATCATGATCCTCTTGATCTCTGCCTCCCAAATAGCTAAGATTACAGGCGTTAGCCACCAGTGCCCGATAAGAACTCATCTTTCCTCTCCTTCAACTCTAGTATTTTTATGAGAAGGTAGGTTTAAACCTGTAATTTTGCTTCTTCAGAAACTCTGGAAAAGCTGGGTGTCAATAGCTCATGCCTATAATCCTACCTACTCAGAAACTGGAAAAAAATGACAGGTCAGAATGTGAATTCATCTTTTATCCTTCTATAGTAAGAGCACCCTGACTTTCTTTTGGAGAACCACTCTCAGTCTTCCATTTGGGTGGGGCAGGCCCTGCCTCTGGTTCCAGGGAAGGACCTATCTCTGGGTCTAACCAGCAAGACTTCAACGCCTTAAGTTTACACAACATCACCATCAGACCTAGGCTGTAGCAATGTCAGGTCTGTCAGAGAAGCAATGCTTGGGCTAGATTGTTAAGCAGAAGAAAAGCAGAGCTGAGAAGGGGAGAGTTCTGATGAGATCTTTGGTGATGTTAGATTTTTCTATCCATACACTGAGAATTCTCTTTCCTTAAGCTAGTTTGAACTGGTTTTCTGCACACCTGGAATCCAGAGGCTTGGTTAACTCATGGAATTTGAAATTCACAGTTGTAATAAGGCCTTGGTAACAGCACACCTGGCTGTTTAATGCCTAGATGCTTCTAGCCATTCATGCAAGATTGAATGTTCATAAAAAAGCATTTGAACCCAGCCCACAATGAGCGATGAAATTAGAGCAAGAGAAAGATCAAGAACCTACTTAACTCCAGCTCTCTGAAAGGGCATCAGATTAGACACAAGCTTGAAATCCACTCCAGAAAGGTCAGCCTCAGGGACATCTGCTGTGAGATGGAGAGACGTCTTCTCCAGCTGAGAAGCAAATGCCAGGGTGATTGTCTTGGGCAGAGGATCCAGCTGAACTTGCGGGAGGCCACGAACCCTTGCGACTGGAAAGAAGAACAGAGGCATGTAAGCCAGTGTTCACACAGTTCAGTAAGTGCCATTCTGCTACACACCATCTTCTCAAGAATGCTAAGAGCAGTGCACGGCAGGGGCTGACAGCTGCAGCCTTGCAAAGCACATGAACCAACAGAATGAATTTTCTCTATTCCTGAATCTCTGCAAGTAAGAGGGTACCTGATAATGCAAAAGTGAAGGACTGTCAAGTGTTTTTGTGACTGATTTTTTTCTTTCTTTTTTTTTTTTTTTTTGCAATACTGGGGTTTGAACTCAAGGCCTACACCTTGAGCCACTCCACCAGCCCTTTTTTATGAAGGGATTTTTTTTCGAGATAGGGTCTCGTGAACTATTTGCCCAGGCTGGCTTCGAACTGCTAGCCTCCTGATCTCTGCCTCCTGGGTAGCTAGGATTATAGGCATGAACCACCGGTACTTGGCTCATGTTGATTTTTTTTTTTTTAACCTCAAGTAATCTTTAAGAAAAACTGTCCCGGTATTCCCATTCACACCAATAAAGGCTCATATTCTTAAAAAGTCAGCCCAGAAAGACCCCTAAAAAAGCAAGTCCTACACAGAATGAATCTTATTTCTGTTCTTCTATTTTGATAGTTTTGATGTTTGAGGAGGCAGCACCTGCTGTCAACAGGCAGAAACACTGTGCTCTGGACAGAGGAGTCACTAGGTGCTCCCAAGAAAGATGGGTAGGAAAACAACAGTACTTACAAACAAGAACAAAAGGCTACAAATTGATAAAAATGCACATTCTTGAGGTTTACAGTAGCAGTTTCTGGAGCGAAGCAGCTGAAGTATGTATTAATCTGGAGGTGACTTGATAGTTCAAGATCTAGTCTCTGTAAAGCAGGGGCTAGCAAGCTAAGGCCCATGGGTCAGATCAGCCTGCTGATTTTTTTTTTTAAATGATAAATTTTACTGGAATAAGCCATGTCATTTGTTATGGATTGTCCACAGCTACTTTCAAATGACAGTGGCAGTGAAACAGCTGGGACAAAGACTACATGGTCCACAAAGCCTAAAGTATAATCTGGTTCATTATTTAAAAAATTTATTGAGCTGGGGGTGTAGGTCAGTGACAGAGCCCTTGACTAATATGGAAAGTAATGGGGTCTGATCCCCAGCACTATAAAACAAGCAAAGAAACAAAATATTTTACCAAACTCTAATAAGCTAAGAGTCTTATACTGACCATTACTCCGACTCTTTCAATTTGGGGCCCTTCACTTTCCTTCCAAATGTGCTGATCTTAAATACCTATATAATGGTATAGGCCTCTTCTAGTTAAGGGCCATTAACACAAGTGGGAAAAATAAATTATTTGAGAGCTACATGGAAATGAATTAATTGCACTGAGTTGAAAGAATTAAGTCTCACCTGATTTTAAAATTAAGAAAAAAAACCACCTTTATTCAATAGAGAAATAAATAAACCAGAGATTAAAAATTAGACAAAAAAAAGACCTAGAGATTTCTGGAAGTAGAATTATCATGAAACTACTAATCATAGCCAGCTGTCCTATGAGCTGTAGCTTCCAAGATGTTTCCTTTTATCATTTTTCTTTGAAAAATCTAAATAGAAAAGTAACTATTATTTATAGATCTTCAATTTCTCTTTTTCCTTTATTTTTCCCAGGGCACCCTGGGAGTCATGTAACACACCCAGGGGCTAATTATCCTCAGGTACCTAGTAAAAGAAAACATAAAGAGACACTGGGTATATTTCATTTCTACCCAAACTACCTGAAATCCTAAAGTTGTTAGCTCTCTATTCCATAGTCAAGCATGATCAAATGCTTTCTTAACATCTTCACAATGTGTTTCAAAAGTCCTCTGCCACAATCATCAGTTGGTTACCAGGGCAAACACTGATGTGACTATGGAGGACTGAGCCATCCACTGCTACCTTCAACTGCTTTGTATTTTTAATTACTTTAAATCCATTTTTGTCCTTGACTAAATATAAGTACAAGTTATTTCTGCAAATAGTTTCTACTAACAGAAACACCCCGACAGTAATTTAGGAAAGGCTGATAGCTTTAATCTAAAACAGGCTGTCCATATTGATGTAAAAATACATTTTTTATACTCCAAATTAAATCTGAACATGCTGATTTCTACACACTTCAGGAGGTAAGCACTCCATGTACTTATAAAAATAATTCTCATTTTAATTCTAGTGATCTTCAGAACTCAAATACCTGATGAAATCTAAGGGCTGATGATCCGGCTGGGATGAAATGCAGTATTTTATAAGCACTATGTTCTTTCAGCCAATTAGAAGGGAAAAGAAACCCAACAACCACTCTTATCTCATACCAGCTACTATTTCCAAAATCCTATGCTGTTAGTTCAGCCCACTGGGTGTTTCTGAGCATGGCACCATTCCTTGTTAACAGCTGTCTATTGTTCTTTCCCTTTGCTGGGAGATGACAGCTTCATGAGTCATCTAGAAGATGTTTCTGTAAAAAAAAGCTCTTTGGCAGAATGCTACTAGCCACACAGCTGGGAGATGCTAATATTTTCAATTAGCAGCTAACAAGACAAGATCCTCAAGAACCCTTCGGGACTGTGACAGCCAAGAGAAAACAAAGGGCCTCATGCCAATTTCACTATGGGCAGAAGACCTCAAGTCACTTAGAAAGGAAGAGAGGAGAAAGTTCTTAGATTTGTTTTATTAGAGAAAATAACTCTCATCACCTTATAGATGAGTATTCATATACTCAGGTCTAATTGCCATTTTTTAATTAGTTTCATATGCACATGCTCACTAGCTCAGAATCAATAATCTAATTTCACACATAAAGAAGACCTCAGAGTGAAGACAGGTGTAAATTCTCCAGGTCTACAATGTTAATGGTGGAATCAGAACTAAATTGGGAACTGTGCTATAATTTGCAATACCTTTCCTCCACAGCTTCTTGGTTCATGGAGCTGGCTTCTAAATTTCATAATGGATCATGTTAAAAATGTAGATGGAAATGTTAGTCCCACTTCTGTCACTGACTTTACTATGCCCCTGCAATATTTCCTTCCTCCAGGTCCAAGCTTTTATCCGTCTACAAAATGGGGGAGATCAGTCTTATTTTCCTTGAGACACTGTAATGAGGAGAAAGAATGTAAAAGCTCTAAATTTAGAATTTCTAACTCAGGATTCATGGAATTATTAATGTCAAATGCAAACTTGCATGTATGCTCAGAACATGCATTTTTCTGGGTGAAGAACCCATCGTGCTCATTAGAGATTTTAAGGAGCGTAGGTCCACGAAAGATTTACAACAACTATGTAATGCTGTGAGTCATGAGTTACAGTTCCCATCATTACATTCATCTGTGAATGCTGTAAGTACCCTACTTTTTGTTATTCCAAGAGTCAAGGCCTTTGTAGTAATATATTTATATGTCTTTCTTGGTTGAAAGACTATGAGGTGAAAAGAGAAAATTAATTCCTATTTCTTAGCAAGAAATTCGGCTTTAGTCAAACAGTTCCCTCTGAATCACAAGCTCCAAACAGCAACAGCCAGAGAGCTTCAGATCAACACAGGTTATGCTTTCTGCTTCAGCCAGCTTTTCCTGACACTGAATAGCATTCCCTCACATTCAAACTTAGTCTTGTAGTTTACAGCAAGTCCTTTCTCAAGAACTGAAAGCTTTCCCTAATATTTAATTCCTGTAGGAGTAAGGCAAACAGGGATCAAAGAGCCTTTTTGAGGGGGAAGGGACAAAATGGACTCAAATGTTAAATTATCTAGTTGATATCACACAGTGGGAGACATAGGGAAGGAACCCAACTCTTCTCTTTTCTTTAAAACCCTAACCTGACCGGCAAGATTGCCAGTAGCTCCCACTTCCCCAAGGGTCAGGTCTCTGCTGGCTGGTTGGTACCAACACACCACTCTTCTCACTGTCTGGGAGACCTAACAAGTCCACAGGAAGCCACACAAGGAGAACATAGGCTATGCTAGGTGCACACCCATTGCACAATCAGCACAATTTGGAAGAAAGGTAAGACTGGCATTCCAGGATAGGCTGAGCTATGAAGATGGCCCCTTTCTCTTAAACATATTAGAATTTATAACCCCATCTAAGCAGAGCACACAGAAGAAAAATGATAAGCCAAACTGGCTTCTCCTTCTGTAGCTGTTACCTATACACACTTCCCCTTCCCTTGACAATCTCTAAAGTGCCTGTTAAAATGCTTAAGTTCCCCAACCTGGACTTCTGCATCTCACAGAATGCAGTTCATAATGAAGCACATAGCCACTAAGACTCTCCTACCTTCTTGATTACCTGGTTCTAGAAGTAAACTGAGAGCCTAATCCTAGAGGTCATGTAAGGTAGCTGCCATTTGAGCTAAGCAATCCCAGAACACCTCTGATTCCTCACATCCACGTCCCTCACTTTCAACACTTCTAACACTTGGAAAGGTTTCCCAAGCCCTCGGAATTTTAAGAGCACCATTTCAGCCTTATGATAAAGGGCCCTGAATTGACACAGGCTATCACACAGTCACAGCCAGTGGACCTGGACAAGACTTCCTGAGAACATCCCACCTTTACCTACCCTGTCCTCAAGCATCTGAATTACTGCAGCAGGGGGAGGAGGAGACTCTTTTCAAAGGCATTATAGTTAAGGCAGACTATTAAAGTTTAACAGAATGATAAAAAAAGAAAGAAAGAAAGAAAGAAGCAAAGTAGGCTTCTCACTTAGCTTATTGTATTCTTCCAAGAGAAAGTTCCACTTCCTGGTCTTCACATCTGTAATGAGAAGAAACAGATTTAAAAAAACAGGACATGCTGCCCTTATGCTACATCATCATACCTGCTTATCTGCTCCTTGACTGTATAACCCTCCAGTAAGTTCTGAGACTGTGGTTGATCCTGTACTTGGCACTGGGGATATGAAATTAAGAGCACTTGCCCTTGAGACACCCACAATTTACAGGGAGGAAGGACAAGCAGAAATGGTGACAATTCTGGGTTATGAGGGTTGTGACAAAAGGTGCTACAGGGACATGTGAGTGGGGACGGCCCAGGTCAGAAATGTCCAGGGTATCCAAGACAAGGACAACAATTACAGCTTACACTTATTCAGTCCTTACTTCAAGCCAGGCACCTGTGCAAAGGGGACACTCACACCATCTCATCTGTCCCTCACATCTCTATGAGGTGGGCTCTGTTATCAGCTCCATTTTATACACGGGAAATGAGCTGCATGTGGTCAGAGTGGTCAAACCAACTATGCTCAAGTCCCATCTTCCTCATATTAGCTGCATAACCTTGGGCAAGTTACATACATCCTTGTGCCTCAGTTTCCATATCTTAAAAATGAATATACTATAGGGTTATTGTGAGGATTACATGAAATTTAAATGTAAAATGCTTGGAAAACAATGAACACTCAAAAAAAAAGCTGGTTCTTATGATTTACTTGTATTATTACTATGTCATCTGGTAATTAGTACAGTGTAGCATAAATTACATACAGTATTAATTAAGAAGGGTGAGCATCTTACTATAACAGTGACTAATTATTTAAACAGAGGAGTTTTTGTACTAATCTACCCTTTGAGACAATCAAGAAAGCATGGACTTGATAAATACTACCTGGGTAGCAACCGTCAATTCTGTAAGGTCATTTCAAACATAGGTGGTCAGAAAAAAGCACCATGGACTAACATAGAGTTTCAGGAAAGAGTGAGGGAGTCAGGGTGTAACTGATGACACTCTGGAGGACCAGATATAGACAAACAGTTATGAATGCTAGAACAGCACAAGAAGCCTCTCCTAACCACAGCTTGTTCGGACAGTGGCAGAACAGCGAGCATGAAAATCCATGAATAATAGCTGCGTCAAAGAATCAGGTTGTGTGGTTTCTGGAAGTCTGTGGACAGGATTGTGTGTTGGTATTTTAGCCATATCCAATCGCTGAACTGCTTAGCAGACCAGATTAGAAGTGTGATTTCCAAGGCTGGTTATAAACACAGATCATGATATTTTCCTTTTAAGAGTCACTCTATGTCAAACTCCAGTACCAGAAAACAAAACATAATAAAATAAAACAAAGAGCCACTCCATGCTGAAGCTGAACATCTGACGAGGCAAGGAGCGAAGAATCTTGGGCCTCCTGTGAACAACTGGTCTCAAGGCCAGGCTGGGCCTTGCTTCCTCACCTAAACCCTGGTAAGCAGCCTGTGTTCATAAGTTAAAACTCACCCAGCCAACGGATGACTAGTGGTCAGCATCACCCTCTCCTTGAAGGAGCACAGGCCCTGATAAGTGAGTGCTCTCATGGAGCAGGTAATTCTATGAGACAGCCCCTAGCTGAATGGGAGGTCTTGAAGGCACATCATTTTAAGGATTTGCTTTCTACTTGCCTAAGAAAAAAACTAAAACCCTTTCAAGAATGATAAAACATGGATCCATAAAAGTCACATCATTTTTTTTTTTAAATATCACGGGCCAAGCCAGGTGCCATGGCTCACACCTGTAATCCTAGCTACTTGGGAGGCTGAGATTGGGAGAACTGCAGTTTGAGGCCAGCCTGGGCAAATACGTTCAGGACCCCATCTCCAAAAACTACCAGAGCAAAATGGACTGGAGGAGTGGCTCAAGTGGTAGAGTGCCTGCTTTGAAAGTGCAAAACCTTGAGTTTGAATCGTAGTCACACCCAACAAATATATACATACATATACATATACATATATATGCATGTATATATACATTTATATATATGTAGTATATATATAGTATATATGTGTGTGTGTATATATATATATATATATATATATATATATATACATATATATATATATATACACACACACACAAAATGAGCCAAGTTGAAGACAAAACCCAGTATGAAGCTGCCTGTGTCCCTTATTCTGACTGGGCAGCTTTTGAAGAACCTCACAAAAAATAAAGTAAAATTGGCTCTGGTTTGGCCAATGTTTTCCAATCCTAGCTAATTATTTATTAGGCTCACATGAAAGTTTTAAAAAATACCAATGCCCAGGCACCTCAGCCCAGCATCTCTAGGTGAGAACCAGGCATCAGTGTTTTTCAAGCAGCTCCGTGAAACTCATGAACAGCCAGAATGCAGCCCCACCAGCATGTTCAGACTGTGTACCTGTGCTACCTAATCAGCAGCAGCAGCACCACCACCACCACTACCACCAGGAAACCTGTTAGAAACACAAGTTTCAGAACCAGAAACTGGAGCCCAGCAACCTGTGTTTTAACACAGGTGGTTCCCACACAGGCTCAAGGCATGTATTTTTATGGCAACCACTGTTTTTCTGCTAAGGCTAACCAAAAAGATGATGGTTTTAAAAGGTTGAGGCAGCAATTTACCATCTTGGTAAAAACCAAGACAATAATGACCAAGTGACTGGGGAAAATGGTGTGGTCTTGTCTTCAGGAGGTCTTAAGGATACTACTATATGTTCACTATCTGAAACAACTGAGGTGTCCTCTTCCTATAGTAAGAGAAGCAAAACCAGGAAGGTTCTATCAAGAGAGTCACTTTTTTTTTTCAAGCCCCAGTACCGCAAAAAAAGAAACATAAAAGAATGTGTATTACAGAAGAACCCTTTAAATGCAAAAAAATTTTTAAAGTGGTAAAATGTTCAATGTTCCAGTTATCTTTAAAGGTATAAAAGGACTGCAGAATTTTGTTGTTGTCATGCAAGTGATTAAACTTAGTGCTTTATATGTGTTATGCAAACTTTATACCTCAGCTATTTTCCCAGCCTGTGAAAATGCTTCATATGTAACCACAGTAAAAATGCTTCAATTTCCCCAACATCCTTCAAAAACATAAAAGCATTCTTATTGGAAAACAAGACCTCTGAATGTTTGATGGGTCACTTCCCTTCTTAAGTATGAAAGTACTCATAGTAGAGAAAAGCTCTATAATGTAAGAATGTGGGAAAACATTCAGTTTTTCAGATTCTTTTAGAAAACATAAAAAAATTCATACTGGTGAAAATCTGTATGTGTGGAAGAAACATGGTGGAGGCTTTACATGTTCCATTTCTCTTCCATCACATGAAAAAACTTACTCTGGAGGATATGAGTCAGGAATGTGCGAGAGCATTTGATGTTTTCAGTTTTCTCCAGAGACATGAAAGGAAAAGCTATTTGACTTTACGAAATGTGGTAAAGCCTTCAACTTCTGTTAGAGTGTCTATCTTTAAGAACATACACAACAACAAATGTTAATGAGGATTCAGGGAAATGAAACCTTCATACTCTGTTGCTGGGAATGTAAATTAATACAACCTCTATGAAAAGCAATATGGAGTCTCTTCATAAAACTAAAACTAGAACTGCCATATGATCCAGCAATAATACCACTCCTAGGCATATATCAAAAGGTATGTAAGTCAGGTTATAATAAAGACACTTGCACACCATGGTTATTGCAGCATTATTCACAATAGTCAAGCTACGGAAATAGCCAAGGTGCTCTATAAGTGATGAATAGATTAAGAAAATGGTATTTATGTACAGTGGATGGAACTGGAGAACATCATATTAAGGGAAGTAAACCAGGTTCAGAAAGACAAAGGTGTCATGTTTTCTCTTTAGTGTGGAAGGTAGACCCAATACAAATACAAACATTGTATGTTCATATAAAGTTATACAGATCATTTTTCCAAATGTGGGACTAAGGGAGAAGGAAAGAATTATGAAAAGTAAATAATAATGAAATAGATCTATATAGGAACAGGACACAAGGAAACACACTGAAAACTTGAACAACACAGGATAGGTGGAAAAGAGTGAGGGAAAGTAGTTGAGGGGGTAGACTGACTTAAGCACAACATATTTACAGGTAAAATACCAATGCAAAATTCTCACTGAACAACAGTCACCTAAACAGTGATGGTCAGATCACCTAAACAATGATGGTCAGAAATGTAAAGGAAGTCATGTTAAGGGAAGGGCACCAGTGGGAGGGGGAGAGTAAATGAAGAAAGAGGGTGAATGTGGCTGATGTACTTTCTATGCAAATATGCATATGGAACATTGAAACCTGTTGGAAGTCACAATAAGAAGGGAAATAGGATAGGAGGTATAATAATGGAGGCAATGATCCATTTTAAGGTATAATATATGTATGTATGGAAATGTCATAATGAACCTCCTTGTATTGCTTTCATAAACTAGCAAAAATGTTCTTTTTCAATAAACGAAGGACAGGAAGATAAAACAGGTTCTGTCCAGAGGTAGGTACCAGTGGAAGGGGGAGTGCATAAGGAAAGAGTGAAAAGGGATGGTGAATGTGGTGGAAGTATTTTGTATTCATGTATGGAAACAGAAATGAAACCTGTTGAAATTGTTCTAAGTAGGGTGGGGGGATAAAGGAGAAAGATGGATGGTGTGAATCTAATTAAGATACAGTGTAAGCATTTGTGTGTCACAATGTTTCCCCTGTACAACTATAATATGCTAATAATAAAAAAGATACTCTTATAAAAAATAAATAAATAAATATTCAAAGATAGAGACAAAGACTCTGCTGAGATCACAGACCACTCCCTATATATCCTAGGAATCACACATAGACCAATTACTTGCCATACATCCTGGAATCCATCTGTTTAAACAGCACAACCAACAACTCTGAATAGCCGATGTCCACCTCAAAGCGGGCCCGGGAAATGAGCATGCATCTCCCTTTGACAAAGGCCAGGGACGGAGCTGAAGGCAGCCTGGTCTGTCCCCCACTGCTGCCATCGGCCCCTTCCAATGGTTGCAGGCTGACGGTGCACAGGTGCTCGGCTGCTTTCACTGTGGAAGAGGAAAAGGATAGAAGTGACAAGGTGGACACCCTTCACCTTCCCTGGGATGCTCAGGAAGGCAAGAGAAGCAGGAAAAAGTAGGGCAGGGACAAGGTCTGGAAAAATTATATTTGGTAGGTATTTGAGAAAAGGCACTGTTATATTAGAAAGGCTTGCAAGTGTTCATTAACTGGGGATCTGGACCTTTCAGTTATTTATTGAATTTACAGGGCATGGTAATGAGTACCTGTAGTCTCAACTACTTCAGAGGCCAAGGCAGGAGGATTGTTTGAGCTCAAGAGTTGGAGGCCAGCCTGGGAAACAGTGCCTCTTAAAAAACAAACCAACAAAAAAACATGTATGTGTGTGTGTGTGTGTGTGTGTGTATGTATAAAATGTAATTTTTGTGTTCCTTAAAACTGTCAAATAGAAAAATTAGAATTCAAGTCAAACATGGAGTTCATGCCTATAATCACAACTACTTGAAAGGCTGAGGCAGGAGGATCTCAAGTTCAACGCCAGTCTAGGCTACAAAGTAAGTTAGAGGCCAGCTTGGGCAACTCCAGGAGACACTGTCTTAAAGTTTAAAAAAGGGCCAGGGATATGGCCAGTAGTAGAGTAATTGCCTAGCATGCAATTACTATATGCAAATGAACTAGATTCAATCTCCAGTACCACCAAAAAAAGAAGAAAAAGAAAAACAGAATCACTGATGCATTTTGTGGACCTGACTACAAACAACTAAACTGTCAAAAAACACAAAATGAATTGAAAGGTAGAGCTACTGAGCAAAGAGATTTGCAAGAAACATAAAGCCTGTGCTCAAAAAATATTAAGACCACAAAATAAAAGGACAGAGATGTAACCAATGCAAAACAGGAGAAAAAATGAGTAGAAAACATTTGGAGAAATGTTCAACTTCACAAAAAATCAGAGAAATAAAAAGCACGTTTTAAAAATTTATTTATCAAAGCTGCAAGGTTAAAAAAAAAAAAACACCACTACTAACAAGGCATCCACATTACTAGCTGAATAAAACCTTTTGGAAAAACTTGGCAATATATGCATGACTGCTAAAAAGTCATCACAATGATTCAACTTCTAGGAATTTATGCCAAATAAAATCTGAAAATTGAGACATCAATTTGAGCAGAGGTGTTCCTTTCAGCTATAAAATAGGAAAAACTAGGAGCAAAGTGAATAGTAAGAAAATGATTTAAGCAACTTATGACACATTCATACAATGGACTGTTATGCAGTCATTAATTTTTTTTTAACCAAGAAACTTTGGAAAAGACAAAAGTAAAAAAAATATATGTTCAATAATATGAAGTCATCTTTTGAGGGTTACAATGGTTCATTATAGTAGTAGACATCCACATTTTCATCATTCAGAATTAACAGTTAACATTCATTGAAATAAAAATGCTTATGTTGGAACAGTGAATGAAAAAGGCAAGATACAAATTACATACAAATGTAAAATTTGTTTCTTTTAATGCATAGAAAAAAGGCTGAAAGAAGCACAACCAAAATGTTATTAGTGGCTGAGTGGGAAGATTACGGGGCAGTTTTTCTTCTTCACATGTTAATGTACTCTGTGTGTTCTACGAAAGTTAGGGATGTAACCCAGTGGTAGCATGCTGACCTACTTCGCCAAGGTCCGGGGTTCACTCCCCAGCACTGAAGAAAAAAACAAAGAGCAAAGGCCAGCGATATGCCTGAAGCATAATGACAGACTGACAGAGACAAACTTCATATGTTATACTGAAAATAAAGTAACTGACTGAAGGCATAGCTCAGTGGTAAAGCACTCGCCTAGTATACACAAAGCTGTGTGTTCCATGCCCAACACTGCAAAAAAGAAAAAAATAACTATAACCTACCAAAAAGACACGACAATGATGAATCTACATAAAACTTAGAAATATAAGGACAAATTCACAAATCCAAAATTGCTGCAGGCAATTTTAAACTATATACAGCAGCCAAACACCTTCATCAGTAAACTTCATCTAAAAGCTACATGGAGAATGTTGTGCCCAATAAACACTATTTTCAAAAAAATATGTGGATCACAAAAAGTCACATATATACACAGAAAATTAAATGAATATACAAAAGTAGGAGTCATTTACGTAACTAGGTACTGTGGTCCAAAAACAAGAATTAAAAAGATGACAAAACAAAACTGATACAGTGGACTGGTTTCAAAGGAGTTAACAATGACAATGCCAGGTGTCAAAACATGCGTAACCCAGAGCACAGAGTCTCCACCTTCCAATGCTGAACAAATTAAAAATGACTAAAAATGTGTTTCCTAAGCAGGGTATGATGGCACATGCCTTTTATCCTGATACTAGGGAAGCTGATACAGGCAGATTGTGAGTTTGAGGCCAGCCTGGGCTACAAAGTATGACCCTGCCAAAAAGTCTGTGTGTGTGTGTGCGTGAGTGCGTGCGTGCGTATGTGTGTGTGTGTGTGTGTGTGCGTGAGTGCGTGCGTGCGTGTGTGTGTGTGTGTGTTGGGGGGGGCGGTTTGTCGTCAAAAAGATCACCAGCAGTGTCATGAGCTGAATTATGTCCCTCCAAAATTCCTATGCTGGAGCATAATCCCCAGTACTTCAGAACGTGACTGTGAGACAATCTTTCAAGTTAAATGAGGTAACTAGGGTGAACCCTAATCCATGATGACTATGTCCTTATGAGAAATTTGTGTGCTCAGAGAGGCTATGAGAGCACAGAGAGAAACTGGCCCCGGTGCAAGTCAGGAAGAGAGGCTTCAGGAGAAACCAAGCGTGCCAACACCTGGATCTCCGACTTCTTTCTTCCAGGACCATGAAGAAATATATTTGTGTTGTTTAAGTTTCCAATGTGTGTTACAGCAGCCCTAGGAAGCTAATGCACCAAAAAATAGGATGCTACCTAGCACCACACATTTCAAAGTGGAGCCCAAGGAGAGAACCAGGAAACTCTGCAGGAGTTGGCTCATTGGCCCCCAGAAACTGTACTGGTGACTTCAGAGAATTTTATCTTGTGCCCCCAATCTTCAGAGAAGCAATCTGAGCATGCATCATCATCATTTGCAGTTTTGAACTGAACAGGGAAAACAGGTATAGAAGTGGCTGGTGGGAAGGCTGAGTAAAGTGGGAGATGAGAAATTCCAATATGTTCCTCTGACAGAGGTGTAGGCTCCAGGCACCAGGATAAGGAGATAAAAACATTGGTATAGGATAGCCAACAACATCTTGAAAGAGTGGTACACCCAGCAGCTGACACCAACCAGACTCAGCATAGGCTGGCCTGCCTGGGCAACCCCTCTTTGCACTCTGGAGTTCACTGGCCACACAGTGCCCTTGCTGACCTGTAATCTCCCCAGGGCCTGGCATAGCTGCCTGTCACTACTGCAGCACTCTGTGATTTGAATCCGAGTTGTGTAACTTACTGGCTGTGTGATTCTGTATTAGTTACTCATCCTCTCTGGGACTCAGTTTCCCCATCTGTAAAATGGTTGTTACAAGGAAGAAGAAAGCTAATGTAACTTACGTTTAGAATAGCCCGGTGCACAGAAGACACACTAAGTGCTAGCTCCTGTTAACCTAACCAATGACCTTTGCCCAAGGAGATGCCTCATTAGGTTGGCCACGGTGGGAAGAAGCATGGGGATGGTGTCATGGAAGTTTTCACCACCTATAAAGCCAGGGACACACAAGCTGGACTACATCTGCTATTCCTGAGAACATTTTCAATGTGAGGATCTGCCTCTGTGGGGGACAACAATGTGTCTACTTACTCAGAGCATTGTAGTCAGTCATGCTGAAGTCCCATGTCTTTGTGGCAGGATCTGAAATAAAATAGACAGCCAATGACTCGTTTTTAATTTTTACTTAGGCACTCTGTAACAGCTTATTTCTGAAAGAGTGGATAGATGACAAGTTCAAAACTTGACCAACAGGCCCCCACAGATTTACAAAGTCTCTGTAGAAGACAAATTGCAAATATAGGTATTTTTTGTTTGTTTGTTTCAAATAGAACTCAACTCAGACCCTGGGAAGTTATGGGCCTTACTTAAGTAGGCTGAGGCAGAGTTAGGACTAGAATGCAATTTCTCCAAATTCCAATATAGTCAGGCAAAGCAACATAACAAGGAGTGGCTCTGAGACATAGCACAGCCAGCAACAACCAGCTCTCATTACCAGACTAATTAACCCAAGCATGTCTCTTAACCTTGTTGAGCTAGCTCCATTGTTTCAAAAAAAAAGTATGTATTTCAAATGCTGTTTTTAGGCTTAAATGCTACAATGCCTAGAAAACACCTGGCAGAGGAACTGGCTTCTCAGTAAATACTCAACTGTTCTCCCCAGGGCCAAGCAGTTAGCTGCAAAATTTGGCATCTGTTTGAGACAATGTCTATTATTAAGGGAAACACCAGCTAAAACAGAAAAAATTTTAATAACTAGATGGACAGAATGTACCAATGCGTTCTCTTAATATTTATGAGAAAATGTGTGATTAGAAGAGGCTCCAAATATAGAAAAACATCTGCAGAACAAAAGCCTCATTACCATAACTTCTGCTGGGCAGACTCTTAAACACTGCAAGGAGCTCCTCACTGTAACCAATCTTCACCCTGAAACGATCTCCATTCCTTATGCACGTTCCCTTTTGACAGCCTACTGCTTTTTGGAATGAGGCCCCCAATTTCTGTTGGAGTCTTCCTTCTGTCCTGGGCATCACACCCCCCGAGTCATGAGTGTCATAAATGCTCATCCCTGAGGTAGAAGGTTTGGCTGTCTTGGCCTCTAATTCAGGATCCTTGGGAAGCTGTCCAGAAGAAGAAGCTGGTATCTCCTGGGAACTCTTCGCTTTAGCCAAAGGCTCATGATTTGTGTTAGCAACAGGTGTTGATTTGATCGTATGTGAAGCCTGAGGATGACCATGACCTAACTTATGACCCAAGAGCTGTTGGTTAGGGACATTTGGAGGACCTTGTGCCAAGGGTGGAGAGAGCCCTCTAACAGTCATTTGCTGTGGTGGGCTGTGGCTTGGGCAGGCAATGGACATCTCTTCTTGGCTATTCCATATTCTCTTTGCCCGCTCTGGTGTGCTGAGCTGAAAATGGTGGAAATTATGAGGTCCTTGGTCACCATGAGATGAATTACTGAGGTTCTGTTGTTTGAAAATGACACCATGGCCCACTAGCTTAGAAGGCTCCCTCAGGAGATTTTTGGAAGGGCCCTGCTTAGACTGAGAAGGGTTTACAGCAATGTAGGAGCTTGAGTTTGTGCTTTGAGGTTGTTCTACTGATAACTTCTCAGCTCTACGAGCCAGAGCCTTCTGTCGATTCTCTTCAATCTTTTTCCTCTGCTCCTCTGTAAGAGGCAAGGACATTTTAACAGGCAAATGCCTATGCAGGAATGTCAACCTTTAATTGGGAAGTTGGCAAAAGCTGTAAAACACAAAAAAAGATGAAATAAACATTAAGCTCACCATGCACCTACCTTGATATTAACAAGCTTTTAAAGTCCCAGGAAATGCATAAGAACTACTAAAGGACAGATTAAAGTTTCTTTTACAATTAAGAAGAAAAACACACACACAGGGACAGTAGGTAGCATATGCTAAAATAATGATCATGATGAAAAAACATAGAGCAAATGCAAAGCTTTAGGTATTTCAACTGCAAGATTTTTCTCCTTCCCATCCCCCAGCCAAGTTATCAGTTTCAAGAAAGCTCCACAAAAAAAAAAAGGCAAGATTTTGAACTAGAATGTATAAAGGATTAGACAGAAATAGACCAAATGAACACATACCATGGTATGACACTTGCTAAAATAACCTCTTTCCAACCTGGAAGACGGAAAAAAGCATTAACCTCACATAGACTGCACACTAAATTCTAAATTCAATCCTCTTATCATTTCTGGTAAAACAATCCGGTACAAGCCAGAGCAGCTGGCCTCAGGGCCTGACTTGCAAAATGCAACTGCCAAGTGACTCTTTTGGAAAAACAAGGGGAAAAAAGTTATGTTCACTCTACAAAATCCAGATGCCTCATAAAGATGTTAAAAAGGGGTGGGGGGGTGGTGGGGGAGTAAATTTTAACTTAATCTCATCTGCCATAAATAACCACTGCTAAATCCGAGTACAGTAACAGTTGTGAATTTTTTCTATCACATACGTGGTAGATCTGAATATTTAGTACAAAATAGGATCATTCTGTACATTTTATTTTGTACTCCATTTTTTTCCCTATAAAGTCACCCTCAGACATTTTCCTATGAGCTAGACCACATTTACAATACTCTAGAATCGGGGGCTGACGCCAATTTCTGTGGCTAGGTTCAATCTTAGCCTTCACCCAATGTCATGTAATGTAATGCTTACAGCGATAACTTTCGAAATACTCCACTAAGCACTCTTAGGACCCTGAGAGGGTATGGAGGATTCAAAAGCTCCCTCCTTCCTACTGGGACTCCCTTTAGTCAGAACACCCCAAAACATCAACCCTCTGGGACGTTCCACTTTCCATCAGCAGCAGTTAGGAAGGGGTGCACAGCAGAAGCTCTGTCTTCCTGGGTAACACACTGCTGCCTAATTTTCCAGCTGGAGCTTTCCTACACTCCCAAACTCCCCAGGTCCAAAGCCTGTTAAGCTAATTGCCACCACTATCCCGAGAGGTGAGGCCATCGGATCAGAAGTCTCACTAATCGGTCTCAAACTACAAAGCCCACCCCATCACCTGAGAGACCCTCTTCCTCTCTTAGCTGAGACTTAAGCTCTACTCCATTTCCCCGGCGCGCCTCACCTCAACCTGCAAAGGGGACGCCACGCCCCACTCCGTCCCTATTGTTTTCCACTTGGATTCGCACTTCCTCTCGGCCCGCTCCCTCCTCCAGGATGGCATTTGGTTTAGTCCACTTCCGCCGCCTTCCTCCCAATCCACCCTGTGAGGCCAGAGAACACAAGGCGCCTTCGCAGCCTAGCCCAGGCCTTCTCCAGAGCCCTCCCGTGCCAGTTTGCACTTCCGGCTGGTAGGTTAGGGGACCTGGAATACAAGCGCTGCCTGCTCACCCGCCTTTTTGCCGAGGCCAGGCGAGAAATTTCAGTCACCGTCGAACTACATTTCCCAATGAGCAACGCGGCAGTAGTTCATTTTCAAATAAAGGGAGTGATGAGATTCTTGCTGCCGGCTCTTCTGGGACTTGTAGTTTGGGCCGGTAGCTTGGCAAGTGTTAGAAGAGACGTAATGACGGGGAGCGAGCGGGAGTGGTGCAACCTGGGAGTTGTAGTTCTCAACTTCCCCAAAGGGCTCTCCAAGCACAGAATCCTGAAAGTCTGAGTGTTGAGATTTCCAAAATTGGAGTTTCACTATCAGAGCTGTCTCCAGAGGGCATCCCAAACAGCCAGGCTGATTTGGTAGCTCTTAATGAAAGTATTTCTCTGGGTATCCGTTCCTAGTATTGCTAGCCTTGCAATTTAAGCCCCACCTGCTATCCCAACCTCTATCTTCCTGGAAGAATTAGCATTCTCATTTTCATTGTCACCGTCCTCTCAATGTCATCATCAGTCATTGTGCTGAGCATTAATATGAATTATCTCATTTAATCATCGGTACAACCTATGGAACACAGACTATTCTTATCCCTATTTTACAAAGCCCCTGCTTTTGTCAGACACATTCAGAGTTAGTTTACCCCATTTTTGAGCACCCTCTGGCCACCAGCACACTTTTCCCTCCAAACCAACTCCATTATTACATAAGTAATAAGTAAGTATAATATTCTTCTATCATAAATATACCCACGAAATTGCTATGATTCTGTTTTCAAACATTTACATTTTGACAGCAGTTAGACATGAGTGATGGGAATGTGCAAAGTGAATCTAATATGAAGAATCCTTGGTTCAGTGTGTGCGTGCTAAGAGCCTTTCTCTCTCTCTCTCTCTCTCTCTCTCTCTTTCTCTCTTTCTCTCTCTCTCTCTTACGCTTACTTACAAGTCGCAAGCTAAACTTTTCTAGACCTAAACATCTGGCTCCACATCTTTGTGAAGCACTTGTGAAACCACCATATGACTAACAGGGAGAAGGCCTGATCTGCTTAGATCCTGCTCAAGATTAACCTGACTCTGGAGTATATTTATGTCCCCAGCGCATGGTTCCAAGTGAAGAAAAACGAGATCTGGTCCAAACAGATTAAGGTAGGCTGCTTTGGGAGTTGCATTTTGTCTATTGCTATCTCATCCCATTGTACTTGAAAATTTTCTCCCCGCTCTAGGTTTTTCTTAGGTCGTCTTGGGTAATCACATGCACAGAGTGTTTCTGGAGACATGTAGTTCTTGCACAACTTTCATGTCAGTCACTGGTCTTGATACTCTTAATCCCCGAACTTCAATAAAGGCCTGGGCTGGGGTAGAAGTGTTGGGGGTGCTCCACCTCTATTTCTGAGGTGACCCACTTTTACCTCTAAAAGTGCCTCTTCTATTCTAATAAACTAAACTTTTCACTGTGTTTGACATCTTGCCTGAAATCTTCTCTCAGGATGCAAAAATGGTGATAACTGTTAATATCTTCTACCACATTTACAAAGAGGATATACCTCATTTCCATAAAGGTTTGGTCAAATGAGCAAGATGTAGTGAGAGGAAGCACAACAATGTGTATGTAGAGAGGAGGGAGACAGGGAGGGGAGGAGAAAGGAGAGGAGGAGAAGAAATCTTTCCCTGTATGTGCATGTAAAAGGACAAAGTTCTGGGAAGGCGCTGGGTAGGGCTACCTACATTCTTGAACCTTTTAAACTGTTTTTTTCTGAATTATTTGAATTTTTATGCAATAATAAAACAGAACTTGAGTGACTTGAAACTATAAATCATTCTTTAAATGATGAAGACATTAGCCTGTCTTACAGAATTTAAGTGAGGTTTAGTAGTAGCAAGTGTTCAAATCTCAGCTCAACCCCCTTTTGTTGGCCTCCTAAAGACTGAGATGGTGCCTTCTTTTCTTATGTGCAAAGACAAAAAAAAAAAAAAACCCAGCATCTTGTTAAATCTCCTTATTGTTAGAGTTGAAGAGGGATAATGTGGGGAAATGCTCAGTGAACTGTAAAATTCCAGAACAGATGGGAGAGGGATGTTATCACTCTTTGAGGTAAGTCTTAGCTCTTTCATTTCTCTCATACCCAACATCCATTTCCTGCTATATAGTGAATGGGTACTAATTTCTGAATACCTGTCCTGCCCTTCCTGTCCCCAACAGTCAGTTAATTAGCTAAGAAAGCTGGGTACTGTGCACTCTACCACTGCTTGGATTCATAGATTCATGACAATCACTTCACTCTCCTTGCCTCGGTTGTCTCGCCTATAAAATAACATCATGCCCTTTGATATATGTAAGAGCACATGTGGATCAGTGGATCCTAATCCTGGATCCTAAAATTCCTATAAATTCATGGATCTTACTCTCAGAAATCTCAATTTGGTAAGTCTGGAATTGGGCAAAAATATGTGATTACTTTTCTAGCTCTAACATCTTAAAATTCTAAGAATAGGGAGTAAAAATAAAAATTCAGTAGAAAAATCATTTTCAGAAAGTAACCAGATTCCATCCTTTGTTTTGTCAACAGCTTCACTTGTTGAGGTATGCTGTATTCAGGTGTTTTTTTTTTTTTAATTTCTATACTTCAGAAATTCTTAAGGCAATTTATTATGAAAATCCTTTCTATATAAAAAAAAATTTAAAGGTCTGGAGGGAAGCCCAGGAGCCAAGGAATTGAAAGTGGAAGAGAAGACAGTTGTAGCAGTTGAGTTCCAAATTAACTCTGTGCTTCCTGGCAGTCAAAGCAAAAAAGTCAAGTCAGTGCAAACCCTTCAACTGAACAGCCCAGCTGAAGCTCCCAAATGCTAGTCAGCCTGGTTGAAACTTTACCTGGTTGACTTAGAAGTAAACAAAAAGACGATATGATGACTATTTTGCAAAGTTAAATGTTTTTTATTAAATATAAAAGTCTTTGCTTTTAATGTTTAATTGGTTTTTCATTTGTAGTGTTGATGATTAGAAGTACTTTATTTTGTAAAATAAAAAGTTGTTTCTCCCTCTTAAAAGAAATTCAATGGTGTTCAGCCTGTAAATCCCAAAATGTGGTAGGCACTATTGCAAGGTTATCCAGAGATAAGCAAGCCCAGTTGTGTCTCTGCATAGAGTTACACTATTTGGAGAATAAAGGACAAATAGCTAGAATTTCCAGATTTAGCAAATGTCCTAAATATTTGTTCCACATATTGTATGGCACATTCATATACTAAAAAAGGATTCATTGTTCAGCTTTAGCTGGGCATTCTATATTTTATCTGAAGCCATAAAAGTAATCCATTATTAACAGTAGCTCAGGACTAGATTGAGCAGTGAGCAAATATGAGTTGATAGATAGCTGATTCACAGTTACATGGAGACACTGAATGGTAAAACTAGAAGGGATTTCTTCCGTTTATTACTTACTTATTTGTTGTGTTGGATATTTCTTCCATTTATTACTTATTTATTTATTGTGTTGGAGATTGAACCCAGGGCCTTGTGCAAATGCTCTACCACGGAGCTACACCTTCAGCCTACAAAGGACTTTAGAGACCTTCTGGTGTCTCCCCTCTCTTCTCCTCTCCTCTTCTTTCTCTCCCAGGCTGGGGATCAAACCCAGGGCCTTGTGCATCTATTTTACCACTGAGCTATACAGCCAACCCTGTTTTTATTTTTAATTTTGAGACACAGTCTCAATAAGCTGCCCAGACTAGTGCTGAACATGTGGTCCTTCTGCCTCATCTCCAGAGTAGCTGGGATTACAGATGGGTGTTTACCAACACATCCAGGAGATGTGTACTCTAATCCCGTCACATAAGAGCCCACCTTTATGACCTCACATAACCTTATTTACTCCTTATAGGTCCTAGCTCCAAATACAGTCACATTGAGGGTTAGGATGTGAATATCTGAATTTTAGGAAGATGCAATTCAGTCCACAGCAGCTTTTTTTTTTTTTTATTCATATGTGCATACAATGCTTGGGTCATTTCTCCCCCGTGTCCCCACCCCCTCCTTCTCCTCCCCACCCTCTCGATACCCAGCAGAAACTATTTTGCCCTTATTTCTAATTTTGTTGAAGAGAGAGTATAAGCAATAATAGGAAGGAACAAGGGTTTTTGCTAGTTGAGCTAAGGATAGCTATACAGGGAGTTGACTCACATTAATTTCCTGTGCATGTGTGTTACCTTCTAGGTTAATTCTTCTTGATCTAACCTTTTCTCTAGTTCCTGGTCCCCTTCTCCTATTGGCCTTAGTTGCTTTTAAGGTATCTGCTTTAGTTTCTCTGCGTTGAGGGCAACAAATGCTAATTAATTTTTTAGGTGTCTTACCTATCCTCATATCTCCCTTGTGTGCTCTCACTTTTATCTTGTGATCAAAGTTCAGTCCCCTTGTTGTGTTTGCCCTTGATCTAATGTCTGCATATGAGGGAGAACATATGATTTTTGGTCTTTTGGGCCAGGCTAACCTCACTCAGAATGATGTTCTCCAATTCCATCCATTTACCAGCAAATGATAACATTTCATTCTTCATGGCTGCATAAATTCCATTGTGTATAGATACCACATTTTCTTAATCCATTCATCAGTAGTGGGGCATCTTGGCTGTTTCCATACTTTGCTATTGTGAATAGTGCCGCAATAAACATGGGTGTGAAGGTGCCTCTGGAGTAACCTGTGTCACAGTCTTTTGGGTATATCCCCAAGAGTGGTATTGAGCAGCTTTGTTTTGTAAAGCTTCCCTTCCCGTACCCCAGGCAGCCTTGTTCCAGTGCTTACTTTAGCACAGCATGGGTTTTTCAGTCTGTATTTGCCAGCACCAAGCAGTGGAATCTTGTGGATGGGGCACAACACGGCCAAATGCAAATGTACTACATGATTTCCTAACACAGTTCCTTAGGTGGAAGGATGTATGGTTTTGTTGGTGGTGGTGGTTGATTGTTTTGTCTGGTTTTTATCCCTCAAGAGAGTAACAGTCCCTCCCCATTTTATGCAGTTTTGGGAGAATGCTA